GCAAGGGTAAACAATATTTCAAACACAACATCAGAACAGCAAGCATTATCACAAGCATTCGCAAATCCATCGACAAGATTAATCAAAAGACACCATTCGTTCAAGAGCCCCCATGGCAAGAACCAGACCATCAAGCACCCACAGCTTGCACCTGGTTGGAGGAGGTCAAAAACCTATGGAAAACGGCCTATAAAAGCCTTATAGCATTAACAAACAAGAAAATTCAGGAGAAAATTCAAAAATGCACAGAGGACAGGTTTCTACACTTGTCTACAAACAAGAAAAAAATGATCAGATCAATCCTTAATCATGAAAACAACAACATTTCATTTGACAAGTTACTGATTCAGGGTGACCCAATCACAGTAATTACAGAACCAACCGAAATTAAAGAAGAGGTGGCAAAACATTTTCAGCAACCAATTGATCAAATACCACCCCTGGAAGAAAATTGGAATCACTGGAGACAAGAATTCTTACCTATAGCAGAAATCCCAGATAAATGATATGACAAATGTACACAAGAAGTATCACATGCCAAAGTTCAGGAAACAATAAAAAAGTCAAAAGCAGAATCAGCTCCAGAAAAATCTCAGATAAATTATGCAATTCTCAAGCATATAGGCCCTGTAGGCATTAAAAGACTTACAACACTCTTCAATCAGATTTTACAAACAGAAGAAATCCCCCTGAAATGGCAGCACAATCTTATTTATCCCATCCCAAAAAACTCAAACTGGCAATATGATCTCAGTCAGACTCGTCTGATAGCACTTCTAGAAACAATCAAAAAAGTCTTTACAAAAATAATCAACAATAGGTTCGCACAAACTCTCACCTCACATCAAATCCTATCACCTCTCAACTGGGCAGGACTCCCTGAAGGAGGCATATACGAACCCATCACAATCATTAGCCATATAATGGAAGAAGCAAAGGAAATAAACAAAGAACTATGAATATTTGGCCAAGACATCAGCAAAGCCTATGACTCTATGAGGCATGAGATACTTAGCAAAGCAATGTATTGCATCAAGATTCCAAGCAAAATTCATAACATCATCATGAAATGTGTCACAGAGCGTACATGCCAAGTAATTACAAAACATGGACTCACTGAGCCATTCATCACAAAACAAGGAATTGACCAAGGGGACACTATATCACCTCTTCTTTGATGCATTTACTATGATCCACTTATCACAAAAATAGAAAAGTTCAAACTGGAATACACCATGGTGACCAAAATCCCCACAACATGTTTTGGAGCATGGAACTATAACACGATACACATCTCCTCGATATCATACATGGATGACACAACTTGGTTTACAAATTCCAAAAAAAAGATACAAAAGATTCAAAACCTGGTCAAAAGCTTCGCCAACATCACAGGTCTCAAGATAAATCCAAACAAATCTGTTCTTATAACAGTAAACAATACAAAACCTGCCTCCATCAACCTCCTAGGAGATAGATAAACAATTTAGATATATAATCAACCAAGTTCTCATGCCTGTGCTAGAATACCTCATCCAAGACACAGTGCTAACTTAAAGAGAATGTAATCAGATCAACAGCAGAATCGTATCAACTTTCAAACAAAAAATTGGACTTGCCTCAATGGCCATCAATAGTGGCATCCACTTACACACAGGATACAAAATATTCAATATCTATGACAGACAGTTAAAACTTCAAACAACAAGATGGATCCAAGACCTTAACGGAAAAAACATTTCAGGACAGATTTCAAGAGCAAGACTCCAACAACTGCAAAATTGGACCTGGTCAACCCACAATATTCTGGATGCACAATACAGGATAACAAAATTTCCTCATCAAAACCTCACAGCAAATATTCTTTATCTTCTGAAATCAAATGACATACATGTCAAAGAAACTAAGGGTTCCAAGTTAACAACTCCCATACCAGGAAACAATTGGACCCCCCTGGAAGACTTCATGCCAAATACATGGTACAACAAAAACAGAGACAATCTGAGAAAACACAACTTCATTTTCATTGAACAAGCGACCAATACTACAAACTTACATTGTATCACATGGACACATCTCAAAACCTGATTGGGTGCAAAATATATAGGGTGGAAGCCCCACTGGTATGAAGAAATTACCCATTGGTTTCAAGTGAAAGAAGACTATTACTCGAAAACCACCATCAACACCTTTGCCACATGTGACTTAGCCAATCAAAACAGCATCCAGCATTACAGATACATATCTATGATCATCGATCACAATATCTATATAGGAAAAGTCAATAAACAAGTTAAAATACTCAATAACACATTCAAGGCTCAACATTTCATATAAATCTCAGGAGACTCTCCGATAGAAAAGTGTAATGGATGTGGAATGGACACACAAGAGAAATCAAATAGATGTATCAGAGAAGTTAACACCAAAGAAGCAATTGCTATTCCGGTCAAGAAAACAAAAAACAGCTCAAAACTATACAATCCTATAATAGGTAATCTCCCCCGAGTTCAAGTATCACCAAATTCTATTAGACAAATCCACAATTGGAGCCACACATCACCAGAGACAACAGATATTTCTCAGATCATTATTGATGATACAGAGATCGGAATTACAAACACAACAGACCTGGTAGAACCGAGATTGCATTACAAAATTAGAGAGAAACTCAAAGAAATTAAAAGAACAATTCAGGACTGGAGAACGGTTGACATTTATACAGACGGCTCATTGGACAAATATGCCAACAGGCAAGTCAAAATGGGGATAGGAGGGATTATCATCGACCAAGAAACACAAACACAAGTCAAGTTCAAAGGCAAATGTGCAGGCTTTCCATCATCAACAAGAGCAGAACTTGTAGCAATATTAATAGCACTGGCAATTACAAATACAGATACAAAAGTCACAATATATACAGACAGCCAGAGTGCAATACATGCAATACAATCTTAACTGCCTAGAAAACAATGCTTAGCAAAAGCAACAAATCTCTTAACAACAACTCTTATTATGGACAAAATCCAATCCAGAAAAGTAATAACTGAGTTTAGAAAAATCAAAGCTCATATAGGAAATAATAATAACGAAAGAGCAGATGCTTTAGCAAAGGAAGGAAGAGAGCTTGGATATGAGTGGACAGTTGAAATTGAAAACCGGCATATCAAAAGTCTATTCTGTACATTACAATGGAACAAAGAGAACCTAGATATTGATACCAGTGGTTTTATGAAATATTGGCAAAATAGCAAATGGATCAGTACATGGGCAACACAAAGAAGACATAAAGCATGGTTAAGAACCGGTGATGAAAAGGAAATAGATTGGAAAAGAACATGGATCAGTTTATCATTATCAAAAATTACCAGCTTCGAAACCAACCAACAAGATCACAATATTAGAGCGTTCAAGTACAAACTCCTCAATGAGGAATTGCCAACAAAAGACAGGCTATACAAAAGAAAACCAGATCTCTATAAAGATGAAAAATGCCCTTGGTGCGATCAACAAAAAAATGTAGAACACATATATAGGGAACATTATGCAAAATAAGTAAGATCAAAATTTCTGAGTGTTCTAAAAGAGGAAATCTCAAGCAGAATAGAAACCAAGAAAAATAAATTCAATTGGCAAAGCCAGCTAGAAGAAATAATAACCGATTCAGAAAGGAATCTCAAATATATAATTAAAGGGATTTTCAGCAAAGATCTGGTTTCACTGATTGAACGAGCAAATGGGACAAAAACAAAAGACATGATTAAAAAAGTGACAAGCAGAATGACAGAAACACTATAAAAGATATGATTACAAAGATGCGAATGCTTTCAACAATGGGAAAAGAGCGAAAATATCAGCAGAATAGATAAAAGAAGCAAAAATAGAGGGCACTCGTATAACAATCAATCCACCACACAATCCGTCCAACAAGGAGTGGTAGATAGACAAGCAGAAATATTAAACATGCAGCGAAAGCTGGTAAACAACTGGCTGGACCAGGAAGAAAACATTATCAATTTTAATTTTATTTATTCATACAATAACAACACTAACGGAGCCTTGGCACATTAGCCTTGACATGTACCAATAGGACAAGTCAATAGCAACAAGCCGATATGGGAGAAATTCGATATAGCCTAATATGCATCTAGAATAGTTTATAGATAGTAACTCTTGTAAAAGAAATACATATGTAAACTAAATAAAGCACATTAGACAAGACCTAGCTAGTTGAGTTAAAAAAAAAAAAAAAAATATTGTAAATATTTGTAATAATTAAGAAATAGGATAGTTTTCATTTTTTCTATAATTAGATAGAGTAATAAAATGTTTTATTATTAATTTAGAATGTTTAAAAAAGATTATAAGATTTTTGAATTTGTAATTAAAAGTATAATTATTATTATATAAAGTAGGGAATTGTTTTTAAAACTTATATTTTTTTATTCATTATTTATTATGTATATATGTATATATTATATATTTGATAAATAAAAAATTTTTTATTTTAATTTGAATACAAATTGCTTTGTAATTGACTATAAGAAATCGTATTAAATTTTTTGAATTAAAAGTACGTGTTTTAAGCTATAAATCACGTGATATTATGCGTCTTAACACAATGTATATACAGTATATCAATTTATTTTTCGAACTTTATGGGTTTCACTCTAGTTATTATGTTTTTGTCGCATACTGTTTAATGTAATATTTATTGTACAAATTATTAAGTTTCTGAAGACAAAAAAAAAAATGTCTTTTTAGAAGGCACGCTAAATCTTGACAACAAATGACTTGTGACTTCTTTGAAATTCGAACAGAGAAGAAAGATGTTATTCATATAAAATTAATAGTGTTTAACTAGAGATGGGAGTTTTACCCACCATTAAAGAGTCTGAAATTGAATGTAATTAAGCATTCATATAATATGTTGAGTAATAAATGGCTAAGCATGTCATAAAAATGATTAAATGAGTTATTTAATAAATCTAAAATTGTAATTATTGTGGTTGCTCCGAAAACTTGACTTTTACTGGTGAATGATATGATGGAGGTATTCTTGATGCGTTGGGATAATCGGCGGGCAAATCATTCGGTATCACTTCTGGTGATGACCTATTACCAAAATTGTTATACATTGCCCCGTTATTATTATAATAATTTCCTACTTTAGATGTTGGTGGGCGAAGAGGCATATCTGATGTAGGAGAGCGCGGGGTATGCGGGTGGCTGCTAGAACTTATGGGAGAACTGCAATATGTTTTCAAAGATGTATTTATAACTATTTTGGTATCCATGGATTGGAAAAGGTATTTGCTTTTGATGAAGCCTGATTGTTCTTCATTTGAATTCTCCTCTAATGATTTCCGTTTTGTCTCGGGGATTAGAAATGTAAAGAAGAACCCTGTTAATGTGAAAAACGCGCATATTTGTAGCAAATGATCCATGAATTTATTTGGACCACCAATATCTTTCATCTGAAGAAACCCAATTTGGGCTATTATTGCACCAAGCTTCCCACTAGCAGCGGCTATACCATGACAGGTGGCACGAAAACGGGTAGGAAATAATTCAGCTGGAGATTAACGTAAGGTGTGAGTATGGGCTATTAACGACAAACATAAATCGTATTTGAAATTTTGAAACTCACCAGGGAAGATGAATGTGGTGGTGTTGGGTCCAAAATTTTGAAAGAACTTTTAGGAAAAGAGATTATTTGAGTCACCGTTCTATAGGAAGGATAAATTACGAGTAATTTCCAAAAAACTTACCATGGATGCTGTAAACAATATACTAAATAGTGTATTATTAATTGCCTGGTAGGCAAATCCAAGTACGATATAGCACAAGGTGAGCATAGCAAATCCCATCAATTGAATGAATTTACGACCTAATCTGTCTATCAGAAAAACGCTACACCAGTACCCGGGCACAGAACCAATAAGGGTGGAAAACGCATTTCCTATTGCTATGCCACGCAATGCTTCATACGGACTCTGATCTGAGTTACCATTAACAGCGGTGTATATTATTGAGTGATTCAATCCAATCCCATAAAACGCTACATCTAAAACAAACCAGGTAATAGATGTGGCAACGAGAACCTTGAAATTTTCTGATATAGAAAAGTAATTGCAAAAATTTTTCCACGTAGGTTTTGGTGTCGACGCGATATACTTGGATTCCTCTTTGTCCTTAACATGATATCCATAATAAAAGGCATTGCTGACGTCTCTATCACCTTTTTCAACATTACCCTGAACGTCCATCGTCCAACGTGGTGATTCCGGTATGGTGATGCGGAAGTAAAGTCCCATCACCGCGGGTATTATGCCAATTCCGAGTACAATACGCCAGACATAATCAAGATAAAGAATATCTTTCTCTATGGAAGGTTTCATTGCCATAAGAGCCAAGAGTGAGACTAGGGCCGCAAAGAGGATGCCGAAGCCTTGCATCGCAAAAACGGCTGCTATCATTGCCCCACGTGTACTTATGTTTGAAAATTCACTTGTGAAGACTAAAAAAGTGAAATTAAATATGTTCATATAAAACCATGGTAAGAATTGATCTGAGAAATGTCCATTAGACGATTTAAATACCTGCGGAAATGGGATAGTCTCCGCCAATCCCAATGCCTAAGATGACCCTCCAAAAGATGAACGAATTGAATAACGAAACCTTTAAATTAGATAATATTGGTATTAGCAGGATATACTGTCATGGCATCTTCACCTCAAATAAGAAGCAAATTCAAAAAAAATATATTACGGCAAAAGATTGAGCGACAAGAGTAGAACCTACAAAATCAAAGTGAGATTATTAACTTCGACATGGAACATGATAAAAATACGTCGAAGCACGAAAGCTATACATGGAACATACCGGCAGTCGAGACAATTACAATCAAAAGTTCAATTCCATACAACTAAAGCATGAAAGGAAAACCAAGGTAAATGAAATAGTAAAGTGGCTAGGAGAATAAGGATGAGAACAATAAAATACAAACTCTTTTGCGACCAAGTTTATCGGCATAAACTCCAAACACAATTTGGCCAACCAGAGTACCGATCGTTGCAGCGGTCTTCAAACCCACATCGAGGTCATTTGGTACCGAGTTATTATTATCGGAAAAGTAAGCGTATCCCAACATCGCCGAAACCATGTTAATCGCAAATACATCATAGGCACACGTGAAGAATCCTATACCAGCGATCAAACAAACACGAACATGGAACCACCCAAATTTTTCATTATCGAGTCTTTCCAAGGTTGCTTTGCGCTTATCATTCAAATCGGGTTTTCTCTCTTTGAGCATTGGCAAAGGTGGTGCATTGCTGGTCGGATCTTTCAAAGATTTGATTGAGATCTCGTGCGAACTGGAAGTTTGATTCGCCATTGTCTCGGAACGAAAATTGCTCCTTTTTTTCTTGTGAAGTACAGAAATTAATTATACGCTCGAAAATTTTGACAAAAACAGTATTAAAGAAGGATGGAAGATTAAAATAGGGTTATAACATCATCCGTGTAAACTAAGGAGTGTTCGAATTGGGTTTGTTCCCTCTGGTATTTAGCATTTGCAAATTATAGGATTTTTTTTTTCGTTATCGGTTATTTATGAATGACGTTAAAAGGTGAGGAAGTTAGTGGATGAATGAAACCTTGGGGAAAATTGGTAGGACCTAATATATTAAGGAATTAAAAATTTTTTTCTCATACACAACCAATGGTGTGCATGCGGCGTTAAAAAAAAAAAAATCCTTTAAATTATAGCTTAAAAAAATGATGAGTTTGTCCGCGCATTCAAAAATGGATAATTGTTTATTTTTTGCGAACCGCAACATCCCAATGATTCTGATTTTTCAGAATTCCCGTTCCACAAGAAGCTATTGTGTGTATGCGTTCGGACAACATCGAAAGACCGAGATTTTCATGTCAAACCAACACGTGCGGGGGGAGAACCAATTCCATAATTTAAAATTTTCTGTGCCTAAAAGGTAATGTGAATTATTTTAAATTATTTACGTACTACTGTACAATCGATAATATTGTATGCAGGCACAATCTGATCACGATTTACCCACGCATATGCTATATAAAAAGTGCCTTGCTCGAGGATTATCCCGAATACCCCGGAGCTCTCCATATACATAATAAGTAAATTCTCTAGGAACAATGATCAATTCCTTTACTGTACGACAGAAGAAGTTTGAAATGTCAAATTACGATTGTTTCATATTATTTATTTGAAAATAGTTGTGATGACATACAGCTTAGTGATGATGGTAACTTAGGGAATTAGAGTTAACTTTGCTTTTCTTAGATTTATATATAATCTTATGTTATCCGTAAAAGATCGATGCTTAAGAAAATGTTGGTCAAAAATGGAATCTAGAGCCATTTAGCCTGTCGAAAGAATTCCCACAGCTTACTTGCTTTGTTCACATCCATTTTTAGCATCTTCTGTGCATCACTTTTTCGAAAAGGTAACATTCTCTCTTGATATCTGCGTGAAGCCGAGAGTAAAGTGTTTTTTGAGGTTAAATATTGAACCGGTGTAAGCCGTAGAAGGGAAGCTACTTCCGCTTCAGTTTTATGCAAATACTCATAACGTTGTAGATGCGAGATCTTTAAAGGATTGCTTTTCCATTGAATATTAAGGGCTATATTGTCCAAGTTACTTGTGTCAAGATTCATGTTTTCAATGTTTTTAATTAAATCTTCCCATTCCAAATGCGGCGTCGAAGGAATCCTGGTAAGGTTGACACTACTTAATTCCGTAGGAATTGAGGAATGGTCGGACATTCCACGATCTATCATCACTCTCGCGAAGGAGTTTCCCTTACTCTTCAGCCCTGATGACATGATTTTTTGAGATTTCTGTGTTTGCTGCTCAGTGGACGAATTTGAGGAGTCCGGTGTTGATGGCGGACTTGAGGTCGGAGACGAAACCGAATCGCTATTTGATCCATATACTTGGGTGACGTCATCTTCATCCGAAACTAGTAGTAGATTCATGATGTTCATCGGAGAAGTTTTCGTGTTTTTATCTACGATGCCCAATGATTTTCCGGGAGCGTACGCTGGAGGTAAACTTTTTTGTAAATTCACATATTCGCTTTTATTTCCATTGTCGTAAACTTTTACATTATCACATGAGGGTTCGTATACGCGATCATGATGTCTGTGTTTCTTTTTTGAGGAATTTAATTTTTTTAATTTTCTTTGCTCGCGCCGTTTTTTCTGAGAGAAGGATTGAGGAGAAGAGTGTTAGAAATTTTTTCTTTATGAAAATCGACATACAGTATATGAATATTTTCTTATTCACACCAAAGATCTCGCCAAGGATTTCGATAACAATTTATCAATGGTCTTCTTTGATGTTGCATGCGGTGATTTTTGGAAGGCTTGAGAAACCTTGTTTTTGACAAACGTCATCTTTACTTAGCGAAAGAATATCTTTGTATTCGGTAAAAATATTTGAAGCCGAAACCAAGAAAAAGTGTGGACAAATAGAAAATGAAATAAGCAAAACGGGAGACGAAGATGCAAAAAAAAAGAAAGAAAGAAAGAAAGAAAGAAAGAAAGAAATTGGAATGCCAGCTTACCACAATTCTAAACAAGACAGCAGTAGATTCTAATGTTTTGATAATCTATTTTCTTAAGAAAGAATTTGTATATTCTAACCTACAAATTTCCTGATTTAAATTTCTAGGAAGGGTATCCTATTTATAGAAAATTTTTATAGTTGCCGGGTATTTGCTTTTTCTATCATCTTTCTAAATTAAGCGAGGAAAGAATTCAATTTGAATTTTCCGGGATTTTATTTCCAAATATGCGAGTAGAAAAATAATTTATTTCCCCTTTGGGGTTTCAGTATTTATTTTTTTTCTCTTTGACAAAATATATGCCGGCACTTTTATTCGCACGTGACTAATTTTTCTTTGTTAAAAGTCGGATGATTGAGATCATTCTAATTTAGTTTGCTTTTTAGCAAAACCAGTTTTATTTCCCGCGCATCAAATCATACAAAGTCGGCATATGTGATTACATGAAGTAAAGGAGAAAGCGATAGAAAAAGGAAACCGAACCACTATCATTTTATTCATTTAAATTGAGATTAATGTGCTTTTCTTTATTCTCCTCATTCACATGTCTAGACCAATTTATTCGTGCGGATACTGTCTTGAAGATCAAGAAATCATAATTGATTGGTTTGACTTAATTATCATGACACAAATGATCTTTTAATGGGTTTGGTGGTGATACCTTCCCAAGAATAAAGTGTGTGAGATCAACCACGAAATGTCGTTATGCGATTATAAAACTTGACCCTTGATTTGAAGTCATACTCATCATCGGTAGAATGAATTTCATTAACCTGTGAGAATGTATTCGGATTCTCACGAATTTCGAGGTCAATGTCACCACCAGTCATCGCGGTTGTGCAGAAAATAGAAATCCGTTTAAAAATTCAAAAGTAATTGAATATCGCATTACGATCTCCGTTTTATTGGTCAGGATCCTATTGAAAGAAGAATAAATTTATTTACGTATAATGAATCTCAAATATTTTTTCTTTTAAAAAAGATTATCAAAGGTTAAATAAAGCGCCGTCACCATTCATCCTAGCTGTGACCCATTCTTTACAAAATTTAATGAGGTTAGGAGTATACATCTCTATGTAACAATTATGCACTGATTCCTCTCCGAAATTAAATATCCGGTTTTAAAATTATTATGAAACTTGTGATGGACGAGTAGAGCCACTGCAGAATTCGAGACGCTCGGTGATCCTTTACCGAGTGCCGAGTGTTGGCGGGAAATCCATTGGTATTAGTAATCGATTACATAAGCAACGATCCTCTTCGATATAATCACCTGGGATCGACTAGACTGGTTCGTGCACTACCAAAACCATAATACATACTATGAAAGAGAATGATGGTGACATCTTTCGTTTACCAAAACCCGCATCATTTAAATTGATAGGTGACCCGAGATTTTCAGCGCTTTCTGTATTAAGTTCAGTTCATGTTCCTAAGATTGTCATGCTCTGATGGCAAATTTTGAATGTTGTTAAACCGGTCAAGTTAATGATTTTTTCGGATGTAAAGTTTTCGAACTTACGATTCAAAACGCCTTGTGGTCACAGTAATGATGGTTTGCTTAATGTATCAATTATTTGTTTTTCGTTGGACTAAATAACTTATAAGAAATGATTATTATTTTTCTAAAAGTGACAATGCTATGTATGGCATGTTTGATACGCAAATTTATTGCAACGTGACTGATGATCGCGAAGATCAAGGCCACGGCTACATACACTCCCCTGCCAAAAATCACCGGACGTCGATCAAATTTTGATATGATCGGCAAACGAAAGAAATCGTTAAAAGTTTTTTTTTGTGCCATTATTAAATAACACATTGCATAAAATTTACATTGTTGAAATGAACAAAAGCTGGACTTTTGATAAATATATTTTTTTTTATGCTTGTGCTTGAAATTTTTTCGCAATGGCACAAAAACGTAAAGAGTTGTCAGAAAATAAACGTCATCAAATAATTGGTGCTTGGAAGTGTGGTTCTTCACCTTCCACCATTATAAAAGAATTTAATATACCCAAATCGACAGTTCATGATGTAATTAATCATTACAAGAAAACTGGTGAAGTAAAGCCTCCTGCTCGAAAAGGAAGACCGGCTAAACTAACTGATCGTGATACCCGTCATCTACTACGAATTATCAAACAAGATAGAAAAATTACTCTAAATGTTTTATGCAATGAATTTATACAATCAACATCAACTGAAGTTAGTATGCATACATTGCAACGAAAATTACATGAAATAGGCTATTACGTTCGGGTTGGCAAGCGAAAACCATTCGTTTCAGAAAAAAACAGAATATTACGTAAAAATTGGGCAATCGAACGATTAAACTGGACTATTGAATGGAATTCTATTATTTGGAGTGACGAATCATGCTTTGAAGTGTTTGGAGGTGATGGTCGTGACTATGTTTGGCGATTACCAAAGGAGAAATACGATGTAGATTGCCTTGTACCAACTTTTAAATCGGGTAGACAGGGGGTTATGGTTTGGGGCTGTTTTACTGCGGGTGGCTTAGGTCCATTGGTAAAAATTAATGGACGTCAAACTGCAAAAAGTTATATCGAAATCCTTAATAATAATTTATTACCATTTTTAAAAGACCTTTCTGGACAAAACAATTATATGTTTCAGGATGATAATTGTCCAATACATCAAGCAAACATCGTAAAAAAATGGAAAGAAGAAAAAAATATTACTTCTATTCCATGGCCCTCTCAAAGTCCTGATCTCAATCCCATTGAACATATATGGGATGAGTTAGAACGTAGAGTACGTAGGCGTA